CACGTGCAGAAGTTTTTACTCATTCACTCTGCAGTGTTGGCACAACACAATGAACAGAGTCCCAAAATCTAGAACTTGTAAAGGAGCCAACTGTTGGTGGAATCTCTAAGAGGACAGGTTGACGATGGACCTGGCACCTTCAACACTATTAATTGAAGAACCCTTCCTGCAGGTAAGCATCAAAAGTCGGGTAGGAGGAGAGTATTCGCCCAACAAGTACAGGATTTAAAACATATATTTACTCTGCTATGTTGGCACAACACAATGAACAAAGTCCTCGTACATACCTTCTGACACCCACCTGCAGGAAGGGTTGATCAGTCAATGGTGATGAAGAAACCAGGTCCAACGTCAGTATGCCTTCATATAGATTTCACCACTAGCTGGCTCCTTCAACAAATGATAGAAACGTTCTAGACTTTGTGACTCAGAGTATTCCTCCAACATGTGCAAGATTTTTAATAAATATATATACCCTACTGTGTTGGCATAACATAATGAACAAAGGCCTCCTACACACCTTCTGACACCCACCTGCAGGAAGGGATCTTCTATTAAAAGTGTTGAAGGTGCCAGGTCCAAAGTCAACCTGCCTTCTTAGGGAATCCACAGACAGCTAGCAACTCCAGGAAACGAATCAGAGTGAATCAGAGTATTCCCCCTACACGTGCAGAATTTTTTACTCATTCACTCTGCAGTGTTGGCACAACACAATGAACAAACATGGCAGACAAGTCCTCCTGTCCTACATGACTTCTGACACCCACCGGTAGGAAGGCAAAAGCCAGAGGAGCTCTCCAACCAGTGGTGATAAAGGAACATTTCATCTTTTTTACACAAGGATGAATTTTAACAGTGTTCCCCACTGATGGTGATGATGACTATAGATCATTGTAGCTGTGTAATGTCATATATTTTGAATACTATAACCCTAGGTTCACACCTATTCAGGTTGCGTTTGATGCATGTTTGCATTGTGTTTTGCGTTGCGTACTTGCTGCGTTTTTGATGCATTTTTGAAAAGCGCAGCAAAAACGCTTAAAAAACGCAATACATTATTTTCTGTAGCATTCCCATTGAAGTCTATAGAACCAAAAACGCAATGTTTTACATTAAAAAAAAGTCACCTGACCCTTTCCAAAAAAATCGTACCGGGTAAAACCGCAGAGATGTGAACCTGTCCCACAGGAAATCATGTTAAATGGACTGTACTGCGCTTCTGCAAAACACAGCAGAAAATGCTTAGGTGTGAACCTAGGGTAAGTAAGCATGTTCTGTTTTGTGGTAAAAACAAACTCCAGGCACATATTAAAGGAAAAAAATAAATACAGCTAGGTATTGATTACCTCTTTGGTGTCTGCTCCCACTGACCCTATAAAGTGGTATTAAACCAAAAAAAAAAAAAGGAAATAAACTGCAAATAAGTAGCAGAGCTGTGTATTTTTTAAAAGTGGATGGACAAAAATACAAATTCTTTAGCAACTTCCTTATATGCATTTTATCTGTGTAATTAGCTGTTTGCCTGGAGTCCAGCTTATACGTCTCCATATTTTTTTTTGCAAAAACAGAAGAAGACAATGAAAGATGGAAACACATCACAAGGTAAAGGTCAGTTTCACATTTCCTAAAATCTTTGGCGCTTATCCACAATTCCGTGATTGGTTAAAAAATAAATTCTTGACTTAGCAGCAGCTCTTAAAAAAAAAGTCAGAGATAGCAGAAGTCATATATCTTAGATGACAGGTTTACTTTAAAGAAGATGTAAACATAATCATTACTAGCTCAGTGTAATCTCCAAAGTCATTTTCAATATATTTAAATCTTCATCTTTCATTAATTGGTTCAGCTCTCACACCTCTACACCCTATAATGGGTCAGAAAAAATTTTTTACATTTCTGCTATACGCTTTATTCACCAATAATTTTGGCATTACTTAAAAAAAAAGCAATATGTATTTCATTTTTTTTAATAAAGTATTTATGGTCATGCTGTCTTGGAAAAATTTTTTTTTTTATTTTAATGCAATTCATAGACAAAAAGTATACTGAAATGTTTTTGAAGTTGTAATTTTTTGTCACAATTTTTTAGAAAATGAAGAAATTAAATAAAATGTGTCCTTTTTTTCCCCACACATTTTTTTACATACTGCCACCAGCGCAGTACAATGCCATGATATGACTGGTGTGGCAGTGATCAGGGACAACATATATATATATTTTTTTTTTTATTTATCAATATTTTTTTTTCAGTTTTTTTTTTTCATTTAAAAAATGTTTTTTTACTATTTTTTAAAAAATACTTTCATCAGAGTAGTTCAAAATTACCATTATAACATTGTACTACTCTGGGGGGTGATCAGGGATTGTATTTTTTTTTACAATTTGATTGCTGGTACAGTGAAGATCATTGCACTAACAATGCTTTGAACTGTCATGAATGGGTTCATGATAGCTGTGAAAACTAGTGATCTATGATTAGCTACAGATAATCACATGGTACAGGGTATGTGATTGGCCTAGGTACCATGTGATAGCTGTGGGCCAATCATAGCTCACTAGTAAAGGAAGCATATTGATTCATAACAGCTTTGTTGACATGCTAGCGATCGCATGATTACCGTATCCCGAGTACCAGGATCTGCATGCCTCCCCCCTGTGTCTGTACAGGCAAAATGATGTACGGGTACGCCACTTTGTCTGTACATGCCCCCCGCCTGCAGTAACAGTACTGTGGATGGTCGGCAAGTGGATAATTTGTCATGTTTAAAATTACACTAAAATTGTGATTCTAGTTATTTGCAAATAAAATTCAAGCTTTTTTTCATTTTGCACTTATATTTAATGCAAAACTAAAAAAATTCATAAACCAAATGAGTAAAAATGGTAAAAAAAAGTTTAAATGTTAATGGTTCAAAAACCAGCGGTTAAAGTAGTTGTTAAGGCAGGAGGTTTTTTTAGGCTCCATTCACACTACTGTGACTTGTCACGCGACTCTGGACACATAAAGTCGTATGACAAGTCGCAGCTTTTTTATTTTAATGGCACCCATTCCAATCTATGTGAATAAAGTCGCATCAAATTTAAAAAAGGTTCCAGCACTACTTTGATGTGACTTTCTTGCGACTTAGGTGCCACGGAGTGTAAAGTGGCATCAAAGGCACACTGGAAATTGCACAACTTTGGAGTTGCACTATTGTGAACCAAGCCTTACTTTACTGCATTCTATGCAGTAAGGTAAAAACCTTCTGCATGTAGCTTCTCCCACAGCCCCCCCAAATATATACCTGAGTCCCATCTCCATTCAGCAATGTGTCAAGTCTCTGCCACTCCTCATTGGCTCAAATACAGCAGCAGAAGCCTTTGGCTTCCATTGTTGTCAGAGCCAGTGGCGAGGAAATTTTACAGACACACATGTGCGGCTCAGGAGTGAGTCAACACTAATAGTTACATAGTCTGGCCGAAAAAAAACAAAAGTCCATCCAGTTCAAACCATTAAAAAAAAAAAAAAGTTATAATCCTATACCTACAGTTGATCCAGAGGAAGGCAAAAAAAAAAAACCCAGCAAAGCGTGAGTGATCTAATTTGCTCCTGCAGGGGAAAAAAAATCCTTCCTGATCCCCCCGAGAGGCAATCGGATATTCCCTGGATCAACTTTACCTATAAATGTTAGTATCCAGTTATATTCTGTGTATCTAAGAAAGAATCCAGGACTTTTTTGAAGCAATCCACTGAGCTGGCCAGAACCAACTATTGAGGGAGTCTATTCCACATTTTCACAGCTCTCACTGTGAAGAAACCTTTCTGTGTTTGGAAATTAAATTTAATTTCCTCCAGACGTAAAGAGTGCCCCCTTGTCCTCTGTGATGACCTCAGGGTGAATAACTCTACACCAAGTTCACTATATGAGCCACTGATGTATTTATACATGGAGATCATATCCCCCCTTATGTATTATACATGGTGATCATATCCCCCTTTATGTATTATACATGGAGATCATATCCCCCCTTATGTATTATACATGGAAATTATATCCCCCCTTATGTATTATACATGGAGATCATATCCCCCCTTATGTATTATACATGGAGATCATATCCCCCCTTATGTATTATACTTGGAGATCATATCCCCCCTTATGTATTATACATGGAGATCATATCCCCCTTATGTATTATACATGGAGATTATATCCCCCCTTATGTATTATACATGGAGATCATATCCCCCCTTATGTATTTATACATGGAGATCATATCCCCCCTTATGTATTTATACATGGAGATCATATCCCCCCTTATGTATTTATACATGGAGATCATATCCCCCCTTATGTATTATACATGGAGATCATATCCCCCCTTATGTATTATACATGGAGATCATATCCCCCCTTATGTATTATACTTGGAGATCATATCCCCCCTTATGTATTATACATGGAGATCATATCCCCCTTATGTATTATACTTGGAGATCATATCCCCCCTTATGTATTATACATGGAGATCATATCCCCCCTTATTTATTATACATGGGGATCATATCCCCCCTTATGTATTATACATGGTGATCATATCCCCCCTTATGTATTATACATGGTGATCATATCCCCCCCTTATGTATTATACGTGGAGATAATATCCCCCCTTATGTATTATACGTGGAGATCATATCCCCCTTATGTATTATACGTGGTGATCATATCCCGCCTTATGTATTATACATGTTGATCATATCCCCCTTATGTATTATACATGGAGATCATATCCCTTTTATGTATTATACATGGAGATCATATCCCCCCTTATGTATTATACATGGAGATCATATCCCCCCTTATGTATTATACATGGTGATCATATCCCCCCTTATGTATTATACATGGAGATCATATCCCCCTTTATGTATTATACATGGAGATCATATCCCCCTTATGTATTATACATGGAGATCATATCCCCCTTATGTATTATACATGGTGATCATATCCCCCTTATGTATTATACATGGTGTTCATATCCCCCCTTATGCATTATACATGGAGATCATATCCCCCCTTATGTATTATACATGGAGATCATATCCCCCTTATGTATTATACATGGAGATTGTCAGGAATGGACTGGCCAGCAATGGTGGGACTCACCTGCCTTTTGATCTGCAGTACCAGGGCTGGCCAGCGGGTGCTCCCAGCAATCAGAGACTCAACCTTTCAGCCAGCTAACACCTGGAACTGATGATACTGGTGTATTTAAGGGATGGCCAGACTTGCAGACTCTGCCTTGGTGTTGTGTTTGTCCTGGGCCCTGTATCCTGTTTCTGTCCTGCATCTTGTTTCTGAACCGCTGCTGACTTCTCCTGCTCTGATCCCGGCTCGCTCCTGACCATCCCTCTGTCTGACCCTCTGTACCACGCTGCTTGCTACCTGTTCTGATCCCTGGCTTGTGACCCTGACCATCCCTCTGCCTGACCCTCTGTACTACGCTGCTTGCTACCTGCTGAACCTGGCCTGTGACCCCGACCAATCTCCGCTTGCTCCCCCTGTACCTACCTGCCCTATTGATATTGACCTGGCCTGCCTGACGACGCTTGCTTGTATGTACTGTTATCTGTGGGTGGTTGGTTTGGTTTGGTTTGGTTGCACTGTATTATGTTTTAGTATTGCACTGCGTTTATGTTTGTATTGTTAGTGTTAATAAATTATATTGTTTATAACATATCTGAGGTCTGCGTTTCCCTGCGTCAGCCACACACCTCTGGTCACACCTGGGAGCCCTGACAGAGATCATATCCCCCCTTATGTATTATACATGGAGATCATATCCCCCCTTATGTATTATACATGGAGATCATATCCCCCCTTATGTATTATACATGGAGATCATATCCCCCCTTATGTATTATACATGTTGATCATATCCCCCCTTAATCTCCTTTCTCAAGAGAGAATACATTCAGTTCCTCTAATCTTTCCTCATAGCTGATCTCCTCCATGCCTCTTATCAGTTTGGTTGCCCTTCTCTGTACTTTCTCCAGTTCCCAATGTTCTTTTTGTGAATTGGTGCCCAAAACTGAACTGCATATTCCAGATGAGGTCTTACTAATGATTTGTACGGGGGGAAATATGATATCTCTCTCTCTGGAAGTCTATACCTCTTTTAATACAAGAGAGGATTTTGCTCGATTTAGAAACTGCAGCTTGGCATTGCATGCCATTATTAAGCTTGTGATCTACCAGAACTCCCAGATCCTTCTCCGCCATTGATTCCCCTAGAGATCCTTCAGCCTAATGCCCCCATAGCAAGCGGCCTGCCCTGGGGGCACTCAGAGGGGGGGAACCAGGAATTCAGTGGGGGACCCAAGAAGAGGAGGATCGGGGCTGCTCTGTGCAAAAACCATTACACAGAGCAGGTAAATATAACATGTATGTTATTTTTAATCAAAATTAAAAAACAAAGCTGTTCAATCACTTTAATCACCGTGAGCTTGGTGCCAAGCAGCTAGCATTTTCAACAAAAGGTGAGCAATGGCAGCCTCAGTACAGTTCTCCTTTAAAAAAAGAAGCGGTGATCTGCATATTCCAGAAAAGCGATGCGTCTACACTGCAACAGATTTGTTTGTTATGGAGGCTCCCTGCGCTTTTTTTATAATCACAATCTTTTATGAATAATTAACATGTAAATATGTTTTAAGCTTCAATAAATAAGTACTGAATACAAGTGTATTTAATGTATTAGCCGACTTGTTTACTTCTCTGCGTGAACACACATCGAACGCTGGAAAATATTAAAGTTACAGTAAATATTATCATTCGTCTTCCCGGAGCCTCCGTCTGGAGTCAGCGCCAGCCTATCTCCCCGCCGTCTCAGATCTCCATGGCCAGTCCCAACTTTTTAAATTGTTATCCTTGATAATGTCAATTCCTGCACTGCACAAAACTGCATGTGGGACTTATCTATGTCTGTTCTTATCTACTGTGATCCACTGATTCATATTTATATTAAGAGAACCTGCCGTGCAGCACTTCACAAGGAGCATGGGACTAATATAGCATATTTTGCAACAAAGAACTTTTAAATATAAAGCCTATCTGAAGGTTTGGTATCTCGTCCTTTTAAAGTAGCCACAGCCTGGGTAGCGAAAGTCTCTGCACTGCCAACATGCTGTAGAAGGGGATACTTGCTCTGTGTGGAAGCAGTGGTCTCTCTGCAGAGAGTCTGGCATGCCTATAGTTCTGCAATCGACAAAACTCATGCTCGCTGCTGATTGGAGAGATCAGGCTTTGACTCAATAGACCTGCCGTGCAGCACTTTAGAAGAGAATGGGACTAATAGAAAGTTTATTTTATAATAACTAATTTTTAATATTTAAAGCAATTCTAAAGGTTAATTTTTTTTGTAAAATAACAAACATGTTATATGTACCTCCTGTGTGAAGTGGTTTTGCACAGAGCAGCCTGGATCCTGCTCTTCTCAGGTCCCCCGGATCCTGCTCTTCTCAGGTCCCCCCGCAGACTCTCCTGGCTCCTCCTGTCTGTCGGGTGCCCCACAGCAAGCAGCTTGCTATGGGGGACATCTGCTGCTCCGTTTGTCCATTCACACACGGATCCGCAGCTTGGCCCCACCTCCTATCTCTCCCCATTGGCTGACTGGCTGTGATTGACTCCCGCTTGCTGCCTCAGCCAATGAAGAGGCAGAGACCCGGGACAGCCAAGGCTATCATTCACATCGCTGGATCGCGATAGGGCTCAGGTAAGTATTAGGCTCCATGTACACGGGACGTTTGGAAAACTCTTTTGAACGATGGAGACTGACTGCTGGAAAACGTAGGTTAAAAAACGTCTGTTTAGCCGCATTTGCATACAGCGTTTATACGCATTTATGAGCGTTTGCCTTTAGAAGCATTTTTTTTAAAGATAACCTCAGGAGACCTTCCAAAATGCCCAGAATGCACTGAAAACCAGTAAAAAATTAACTATTTCAGACATTTTGAGAGAAATAGAGAGAGCAGAAGCAGAGACAGCAGTATGTGTTGAGATTAGCTGTCTTTTTTTTTTTGTGGTGTGTGGATGTGTTCCAGCTCATTTCTGTACAGAAATTATTGCAGCAGTGTCTAACATATGTTCTTTCATGCGAAACCTCAAAGTATGGTGTACCGGGTCCAGGGGCGGACTGACTACTCATGGGGCCCCCGGGCAACAGGGGATCATGGGCCCCTGCGTCCTTGCCTAAACTCAAAAAAGCCTATGAAAAAGATACCAGGGGCATCTCATGGGGCCCCCTACTGACTGAACTCGGGCAGTGCCCAAGTTTCCAAATGGTCAGTCCGCCCCTGACCGGGTCCATTTGAGTACTGGGAAAACGTTTTAGATGAATTTTTCACGATGAAAAAGGCTCTGGACAGCATTTGGAAATGGAAGAGTTAAAAAAAATTTCCAAACGCAAACTCTTATAAACGTGGATAAAATCTACTCCTAAACGCAAGTTTGGTGCATTAAGAAAAAAGACTGTAAACTCAACTTCCTGTAAACCACGATGTGTACATGGACACATAGGAAAACATTAGGGAGAGTTCAGGGGCTGCTGAAAATAACACAGAAAAGCTCCGAAACGTGAGCTTATCAGCTGCAGTGTACATGGAGCCTTAGAGGGGGCTGGGGGAGCTGCTGCACACATAAGGTCATTTTACCATAGAATGCATTCAGGTAAACAACCAGCTGAAGATTGTTTACCTGAATGCAGCCTTTACAACCAGCTGAAGGTTTGGTATAAATCTTCCTTTTAAAGCAGCCACAGCCTGGGTAGAAAAGCCTCTCCCTTGCCAGCATGCTGTACAGAAGGAGCCTTGCACTCTGTGGGGCTTGATAAAGGGTGTGATCCCTGAAACGTGTAAACATGCCTATCCATACACTCACAGTGTGACATCATGAGGCTTTCTCTCTGGCCATACCTGTATCAGAACCACGGAGCAGTGAAGCTTTTCAGCTGTGTCCGTCTGCCATGTCTGTCTGGAGAAGCAGTGATCTGATATGCGTCATATTGCCTTCTGCTTGTGAGCGTCCAGTTGTATCTCTACTTTTATTAAAGCATTTTATTGCTAAACTTAGCTGTGCCCTTTTTTTTTTGTAGCAGTTGCACATTCAATTGCAACTGCTGTGAGATGGGGAAAACAGCTCTCATTGTTTGAACACTGTTTATGTGCAGTAAATTATGGTGTGGAGTAAATTGATGTTTTGACTGACATTCTGCGGTTTAGCCACAAGATGTCACTGTTTTTCTAACACAGGCTTAGACTGCATAGATATTTGTATATTCATGAAGAGGTGGAGTTTTCACACAGAGTTGGGGTTTTTAGTGAACAGGAAGAGGAGACTGCAGCCATGTTTTTGACAATGCTGAATGCAGGAGCCATGTTTTGGACTATGCTGAATGCAGGGGCCGTGTTGCTGAGAATCCGATGACATCCAGGTGTGAAAGCGTCCCTCACTAACCAGAGATTGCTGCCAGGAAGGCTGATGAGAGCAGAGGAACTAAGCAACATTTGTTTTTGTTCAGAGTCACCAGCGGATGCAAAGCAGACCCGGGTCGGTAAGATCGTGCAAGCACCTCATTTCAGTGTTGGCGCCCAGAGACTGAGGCCAGTCCTATAGTTAGTTAGTGTCTCTGTTTGTGTCAGGCCGCAAGTGTTGTTACTGATCATTGGAAAGACTCCACCACTTAAAGTGACATTTCACATTGGAGAGCTGATAATATCCTACAAACTCAAGCCAGACTGGCGTTTGGTCAGAAGGAATACTCAGGCATGTGCTACAGGACCAGTTATGGGAGGGGAAATACTGTAGATTTGTGTAAGATTGTAAGCTGTTGTGCTGCACCGCAGGCTAGCCCATACCGTACACCCATACACTGATTCCTGCTCTTTTAGGGTAATAACAGGTAAGGTGTGGCAGCTTAGTTGTGCCCGCCAGTAGGTAAATTACTAAACTTTCTACCTTCATCCATCAGAAGGCGCCATGCTGTGCAGCACAAGGTCTCAGCCTTTGGGCTGGGTGTATGTAAATATATTGTGTATTCCAGCATTTGTGGTTGTGTTTATTTGCCACATCTAAGTAAAATTCTGTTGATGTGGCAAAAGCTGGTGTTGGGATTGCTTTCCTCGTTCGAGACTTCACTGTATCCTGGGGAGCCCACCCCGGTACAAACGGCTTACACTGCCATCATTTTATTCTCCAGCATCTCCAACTTCAGAGAATATGTAATATTTGGGGGGGGGGGGTAAAGTTATCAAGCCTAAAATGTTAATAATACTACTATTAGCAAAAAAAGGAACCTTAACCGCTTGCCGCCCTGCCACTGTGTATATACGTGTGCAGGGCGGCAGTGGAGCGCAAAACCACGTTTAAAAACGGGTTCCGCGCTCCCGACACTTTCGCCGGCAGGGGGCGCGCGCGCGCGCGCGCGCTCCCGCCGACCCGCGGGTGACACTATTTGATCCAGGAGGGATCAATCATTAGATTTCAGCCAG